GAGGGAGGGGGCAGAGGGAGGAGGAAGGAACGCGGGGCGCTCTTTCTTCAAAACGAGGACCCAACACCACAGGATGGTTGGAAACGAAAAGGCAGGGCGGCCGCGGGGGGGAATGAGAGGGCGAGCGCTCACACGCGGAAGACTTCCGCCATGAGCATCCAGAGCGGCCCGCGGGCGGCGGGGACGGCGTCCGGGGGGGCGGAGCGCCAGCCAGGCAGACCGCGTTGGCAGGCGCGATGCGCCAGAGGGCGACAGTGTCCTCGTCCATGGATGGCCCTGAGCAGTAGAAGCCGCGATGCCGCACGCACTGGCGTGGGGGCCGGCGAACGGAGCGCCCAGGTGACCCGAGTCATCACCTCCTCTTGCCGAGTCGCCCCGCGGCGGCGCCACGGCGGCAGGAGGGAGGGGAAGAAGAACGGGCGAGGGGGAAGGCAGGTAAACGGAAGCTCGGACCCAAGGCGGGCGAACCGTCGGCAACGCGAGGGCCAACGAGGCGACCCGAGGTGCCAGGCCCGGGGGCGGCCCGCTCCACAAGGAGGTGGGCGACCAGGCAACAGCGGGCGCGGAAGGTAACCGCTGGTTTCGCCCTGGGCTGGTTTCGCCCGACGCTGGTTTCGCCCGGGCTGGTTTCGCCTGGCGCTGGTTTCGCCAGGGCTGGTTTCGCCCGACGCTGGTTTCGCCCGACGCTGGTTTCGCCCAGCTGGTTTCGCCCGGCTGGTTTCGCCTGGCGCTGGTTTCGCCCGGGCTGGTTTCGCCCGACGCTGGTTTCGCCCGGGCTGGTTTCACCCAGCTGGTTTCGCGCGGCTGGTTTCGCCCGGCTGGTTTCGCCCGGCTGCTGGAGGAGGTGCAGGAGGAGGAGGAGGAGGAGGAGGAGGCGGAGGAGGAGGAGAAGAGGGAGGGAGGGATGAGAATAACGAGGATGATGGGGGGGGGAGGAAAGGAGAGGAGGAGAGAGGAGAAGAGCTGGAGGAGGAGGAGGACGAGGAGGAGGTGGGGGAGAAGAATGAGGAGGAGGAGGAGGAGGAGAGGAGGCAGGACAAGGAGAGGAGGAGGAGGAGAGGAGGAGGAGGAGAGGAGGAGGAGGAGAGAGGAGGAGGAGGGAGAGGAGGAGGAGGAGGAGGAGGGGAGAAGGAGGAGGAGGAGTGGGAGAAAGGAGAGGGAGAGGAGGAGGAGGGATGAGTATGACAATGAGGGAGGAGGGGGAGGAGAGGAGGAGGAGGAGGAGGAGGAGAGGAGGAGGAGGACGAGGAGGAGGACGGGGAGAAGAAGGAGGAGGATGAGGAGGAGGCAGGACGAGGAGGAGGAGGAGGAGGAGGAGGAGGAGGAGGAGGTGTGGGAGGTGGGGGAGGAGGAGGTGGAGGTGTAGGTGGTGGAGGAGGTGGCTGAAGGAGGGCAGGACGGAGGGAGGGGGAAGAGGGTTAGGGCCGCTGGACCCGACCCGACCCGACCCGACCCGCCCGTTAGGGTCCGCCCGTCCCGACCCGACCTGACCCGCCCGTTAGGGTCCGCCCGACCCGACCCGACCCGACCGTTAGGGTTCTCGCGTGCCCTCTCGATTATATGCACCACAATTTAATGTCCCGCCCGTCCCGACCCGACCTGACCCGCCCGTTAGGGTCCGCCCGACCCTAGCCGACCCGACCGTTAGGGTTCTCGCGTGCCCTCTGGATTATATGCACCACTATTTAATGTCCCGCCCCCGACCCGGCCCGCCCGTTAGGGTCCGCTTGCCCGTCCCGACCCGACCCGCCCGTCAGGGTACGCCCGACCCGACCCGACCCGACCGTTAGGGTTCTCGCGTGCCCTCTCGATTATATGCACCACACTTTAATGTCCCGCCCGCCCGACCCGACCCGCCCGTTAAGGTCCGCCCGACCCGACCCGACCCGAACCGCCCGTTAGGGTCCGCCCGACCCGACCCGACCCGCCCGTTAGGGCTCTCGCGTGCACACTCGATTATGCACCACACTTTCATGTCCCGCGAAACCAGCGGGGCGAAACCAGCGGGGCGAAACCAGCGCCGGCGAAACCAGCGTCGGGCGAAACCAGCGCCGGCGAAACCAGCGTCGGCCGAAACCATCCACGGCGAAATCAGCCCGGGCGAAACCAGCCGGGCGAAACCAGCCCGTGCCGCGCGGAGGGGGGGGGGGGGGCACGGGCAGGCGCTTGCATGCAGGCAGGGGCGCCGGCTGCCGTACTGTGCACGGGTGCACAGGCGGCGGGGAAGGCACAGTGGCAGGAGCGGCGGAGGCGAGCGGGGGGTGCCAGGCCCAGGGGCGACCGCTCCACAGAGATGGTGGAGCGGGCCAGGTGGGCAGGGAGCAGAGGGCGCGGAGTGGGGCCGGGCACGGGTGGGCGCACAGGGGCGCCGGCGGCCGCACTGCACAGGTGCAGGCGGCGGCGAGGGCAAAACACTGCAGGACCCGACAGATGCGAGACCAGGGGGGGCCTGGCCCGGAGGGAGAGACAGAGCGCTCCAGAGAAAGAAGAAGCGGAGGAAGACGGGCGATGGAGCGGGGGGGGGGGGGGGATGCAGAGGGAGTAGAACTGCGAGCGGGGATTTGGGGCAACGAGGTGAGGAGAGAGGGGGGAGGGGGAGAAAAGGACTGCGCAAAGGGGGGGTTACGGACAAAAACAATCCGGAGGGAACGGGGGGAGGGTGACGGGGTGGTGCGAGGGCTGGCTGGACGATTGGATCGGACACTTCGAGAGCAAGGCTGGGACGTCCAGCCTCTGGTCGCAGGTGGTCTAACGAACTGCTCGTAGGAACAACGAGCCAGGGAACACTGCAAAATGCGCGTGGCGACAAAGTCTGGATCGTGAGCACGCACCCACTTTACATCGATTTGGGACAGGGGTGGCAGGGGATCCAGATCTAGGAGGAGGGACACAGGAGGGGCTGAGCTGAACATTGGGCCCCTGAGGGAATGCAGCCGATGCTTCGCATCGGGCCTCGAGACGGTCAGAAAAACCTTGGCCCGGCCACCACCATCTTTGCTCCTCCTCCGCTGCCCTCCCTCCTCCTCGCCCTTCTTCTCCTCATGTTACTCCCCTTCTACTGCTCCTCGCCTCTGTAACTAAAGTCCTCTGGAAAAATCCAAGTTGACCACCAAAGCGTAAAACTAAAACTATCATTCCACGCCAGCTTGGCGGCTTCTATCAATCCTCCGAGGGAGCCCGAGACGCACGACACCGATCGCGCTACCAACCTTGTATACAAGAAGGTGGGCGTGACTAGGTAAGGGGAACGACACTACAACATATGATCGATTGGCTATTGCCTCCACGGGGCCATTATTCATGGATGACAGACGCACACGCGACAGACGATCATCACATGTTGTCGCGTTATCGACACTCATGCTACGAAATCCGTCGACGCAACAACAACTGACGAACTAACGTTCCCATCGTAAGGCGCTTCCTGGAGGCCTCGTGCGGCAACTCGAGATCCACTCTACATCGGATCCACGTCGGCGCCACGCCGGATTTACGTCGGAATTAGGTCGGATTTACGTCGGAACATCGCCGCTCGAACTTCGCCCCGTAACTATCCGACGGGGCGGACGTCTGGACGACATAGACAACGCAACCGTTGCGCGCCGCGCGAGGGATTCAGGATTTTCCCGACAGCTCATCCTGCGGTGCTCATCCTGCTGTGCTCTGCTTATGACGCCGCACACCGCGCCGCCCACTTCATCTAGCGTTCAAACCGCTGGCATGAGCACAGGCGGCCACAGCAATTCGGGACAACCTCGGCACCGCTACAGTTGTGTGCTGCCCTCGCTCTGGCTCCCGGACACTGCCGAAGGCTTCCGGCAGTTTCTTATGTTCGAGACGCGCGGAGGTGGAATCGGGAGGCTTCCGAGAACGGCTCGAAGACGGAGCTGTCGTCGAGCGGGCAACAACACCAACACAGGGGGTTGCCTCCGCTGGCGAGTGAAGATCCGATTTCTTACTACTGCTGGTCCCATGTCGGCCACCAGGAAAAGCCCGAATATGACCACCATCGCCGAGATCGGGCTCGTCGTCCCTCGGTGGAAGCACCCGCCAATATTGATGTTGGCGCCCGGAGATCCGATGTCCTGATTTTTTTCAGACGGGGTCCCGGGAAGTCCCGACACTTTCCCCAGGACCAGTTTTTCGTCCCGAGCCGTTTCTGACGGTCTCGCGAGGCCCGGTCAGGGTCCCCGGAGGCCGAAAACGGCGAACACACGTCCCGTCACGATTCCTGTCGCTGCCCGATGGGGAGACCAATATGTACCGATACCGCTACTCCCCGGACCTCCCCCGGGGTGCGTTCGGACCAAGATTTCGAGGCGAACCCAGCGGTGGCGACGAGGGCCTCCCAGGAAGCCCAAAAAGGGAGGGGAAAACGGGCGAGGGGGTAGAGGTATGGGTACCTTTTCCTCCTCTGAGCTCGAGGGGGGTCAGGGAAGCTGGGCCCCCCCCCGCGCGCCACAGGGGCTGCTGCTGGTGCTGCAGCGGCAGCTGCTGCGGAGCGGGCGGGTCAGCCGCGGGCCCCCCTGCGCCGGCCCCGCCGCCCGGGCGCGGCGCCGGGCGCGGCTCCGGAGGGCTCCAAACGCCTCCGCTCCCCGCAGCGGGGGGCGATCTCCGGCCCTGCACGCGCACAGAGCGATGGCATTGATCGAGATCATGGAGAGAGCGTGATCCACCGCTGCTTTACAATGGAAAATTCCCCCCCCCTCTTCCTCCGGAACTCGGGGTCCCCCCCCCTCCGAAAATCCCCCCCCCTTGCTGGACCCCCCCCCTCCCCCCGGCAAACCCCCCCCCCTCCCCTAACCCGCGCACAGAGCGATGGCATTGATCGAGAGCATGTTCAAAGAGCCGCCGGAGACCATGGCGCAACAAAGGCCAGAGGAGAACGTCGAGTGGGCGCTGGACATCATCAGAGACTGGCGGGGGCTTTCGGCCAGAACATACCAAGAGCATCGGGACCGGCCTCGGAGATGTGCGATGAGGCGGCGTCCATCCTCGACATGGGATGCACGGTTGAGGGGGGCGCCAGGCTGAAGCGGTCGCGGTTTCCAAATGCTCTCGGTTCCAGCGACACCATGTATGGTCCGACTTCGAGCGGCGAGCGCCAGCCACGCCACGCGTGGGGCGCCAAGGCGAACTGTGGAGAAAAGATGGGCGGAGACATGCACACCACACGCACGCGAGGCGAGCAGTGCACCAGATGCTGCGAACAGGCTCTTGTCGCCACCGTTGACTTTTTGAATGAACGACTTGGTAGTTGGTGCGATT